TGTGTGTGTGGCGGATGGGAGGGTCCCGTGTGTCCGTGTGTGTATGTGTGTGTGTGGCGGGCGGGATGTCCCCGTGTGGGGGCGGGGCCTGTGTGTCCTCAGCTCTGTCCTGTCCTCCTGAGGCGCTGCCCGGTCCTGCCCTGCCCAGGAGGCTCTGTGGGAGGTGGCGCTCCGTGGTGGCTGCTGTGGACCAGGCTGGCCCGAGGCCAGGTGCTGCCAGGTCCCCTGGTCCCCTGGGTGCTCCCTGGACGCAGGACTGCTGGGCCGCGTGGCCGCTGGCTCTTGCAGCCCCAGGAAGGCCCGACTGCCCGCGTGCCACCGGTGCCCTCAGTCTCCGAGCCGTGGGCAGCGGCCTCCTGGTGGCTCGCAGGTCCCCCTCATGATGAGCAGATGGTGATGTCTGATCCCCGTGGACTTGGCTGCATCCACTTTGGTTTGTGTGTCCACATGCGTGTGTGTGCCTGTGTGTGCGCATGTGTGTGCTTGTGTGTGCCTGTGTGTGTGTGCCCATGTGTGCCCATGTGTGTGCCCGTGTGTGCCTGTGTGTGTCCGTGTGTGTGCGTGTGTGTCCGTGTGTGCCTGTGTGTGTGCGCCCACATGCGTGTGTGTGCCTGTGTGTGCCCATGTGTGTGCCCGTGTGTGTGCATGTGTGTGCCTGTGTGTGCCCGTGTGTGCATGTGTGTGCCCATGTGTGCATTTGTGTGCCCGTGTGTGCATGTGTGTGCCCGTGTGTGCATGTGTGTGCCTGTGTGTGCATGTGTGTGCCCGTGTGTGTGCCTGTGTGTGCCCATGGTGCTGGGGGGCATCCAGGGTCCACCAGCCAGGCCTCCACCATGGGGTCACCCCAGCCTTGTGTGAGCGTGCATGTGCCCGTGTGCATGCGTGTGTGCGCCCGTGTGTGTGTGCGTGTGCATGGGGGTGGTACTGGGACTTAACCCTGCTGTTCCGCTGGGCCACACTCCTGGCCCTTTTTATTTTTTCTATTTTGAGTCAGGGCCTCAATAAGTTGCTGAGGCTGGCCTTGAACTCAAGAGCCTCCTGCCTCAGCCTCCCAGGCGCTGGACGACAGGCTGGCCACCGCGCCCAGCCATCGGGACAGCTCCCACGGAGCCTGTGTGGAGGCCTTTCCTCCCTCGCCCCGTGGGTCCTGTCCTTGGTGCGCTGATCAGGCCTTGTCCCTGCAGATTCCAGGACCCGTCCCAGTGGGTGGCCTTCACAGGCACCACCCACCTCAGTGGCTCGGAGGCCAGCGCCGTGCGCTCCCGGGTGGTCCGGATCGCCAAGCACCCCTCCTACAACCCGGACACGGCCGACTTCGACGTCGCCGTACTGGAGCTGGCCCGGGCCCTGCCCCTGGGCAGGTACATCCAGCCCGCGTGCCTCCCGGCCCCCACCCACGTCTTCCCACCAGGCAGGAAGTGTCTCATCTCGGGCTGGGGCTACCTCAAGGAGGACTTCCGTAAGCACCCGTGGGTCCTGCGGGAGGGAGGGCGGGTGGGCGGCCACCAGCCTCGGCCTGGGCCAGCAAGCCGGGCACTGCTGTCCTCGCCTCCCGAGGTTCTGTCTTTGCAGACTCCAAGTGACGCGTGGGCCTTCCGGGGTCAGCCACAGACCCGCCCGCCTCCCCCAGGGGCACCCCAGCCTCGCACATTTGATTTGAAGGCCGGCAGAGTCTGTGGGTTGCTGAGGGCCTCTCTGATTTGCTGGGCCGGCCTTAGCCGTCAAGCCTCCTGCCTCAGCCTCCCGAGGGCTGGGAGACGGGCGTGGCCGCGGCTCAGTGATGGACTCAATTGCCGGATGCTCAGGTTCCGGCAGAGCCAAGCAGGGTGCTGGTGCGCCGGGGCTTGCTGGGAACACCTACCGTCCTGTGGTGCGCGGCCTGGCGGCCCTCCTGGGGCTCATCCCCAGTGAGCTGAGCCCTCCTGGTGGCCCCTGCCCCAGGGGCAGGCCTTCCAGCTAGGCCACCTGCCGAGGCCGCCTGGTGCCTTCTGGCTCTGGGTCCTGGTGATTCACGATGGGGAGTGCCCCATGGCGCTGGGAGGCATCCAGGGTCTGGAGAGCAGCCTCCATGTGCCTCAGGGGAGCCCAGCACTGGGTCAGGGACTACGGCAGGTGCCGGGACGTGCTGCCAGGCAGGGCCTCCTGGTGGGCCACCGTGGGCAGCAGGTGCCTTGAAGACCCAGCAGGCCCGGGCGGCTGCCGGTGGCGAGGGCTCGGTGGGCCTGACTGGAGCCGCTCTGTGCTGCCTTAGGAGCCAGGCCTCCAGGCCGAGTGGACGGCAGAACAAAAGGGCAAGTCCGAGGCCTGGGGCGCCTCCCGAGACCAACTGGCCAGGGCAGTGGCCAGGAGCCTGGAGCTGAGGCTGCACGTTTAATGCATTTAAACCTCCATTTAAACACTGCGGGTGGCCTGTGGCTGCTGCCTTGGGGACAGGTCCAGGGACACAAGACCAGGGCCTCCCACAACCCAGAAAAGCCAGGCGGGACGGGTGGGGGCCGTGCAGGGGTCCCGGGAGGGTCCCTGGGTGGGAAGCTGGAGAGCAGGCCGGCGACCTGAGGACCAGCACCCTGCCCGAGCAGCCCAGGCCGGAGCCGTGGAGGAGGCCACTGCACGGCGGGGTGGGTCTCGGCAGATGGGAACAGAGACCCAGGGAGCGGGGAAGACATGACAGTGAGGTGCCAGGCAGGACCGGGGCCACCCGCATCTGAGGGGGCGGGTGCTGGGCCGAGCGAGGGGAACAACAGCGGCCTGAAAGGGGGAGCCGAGATCCCCAGGAGGAGGCTGGGGGCAGAGCCGTGGGGAGGGAGGAGCACCCGACCCGTCCAGGGGGAGAGGGGCCTCTCGGGCAGCCACCTTGGCTGGTTTTAGCCGGGTGCTCCTGGACGCCCACTGACAGCCGGGAAACAGGCTGGGAGAGGAGACGGTCTTCAGCCTCCTGGCTGGGGTGGCTGCTGGGGCACCAGAGCTCTCAGCCTGCTTCTCTCCCCCCCTCGGGGCAGTGGTCAAGCCAGAGGTGCTGCAGAAAGCCACCGTGGAGCTGCTGGACCAGGCCCTGTGTGCTGGCCTGTACGGCCCCTCGCTCACCGACAGGATGGTGTGTGCCGGCTACCTGGACGGGAAGGTGGACTCCTGTCAGGTGAGCTCCCCGGGAAAAGTGTGAGGGGACAGGAGCTTGTCTGGAGGCCCCCGATGGACGGTCCTGTGGGGAGTCACTGTCGACCTGGTGGGGGTGAGCGTCCCTGGTGCTGGCTGTCACCAGGCCACACACTGCCGAGCTCATGAAGTGCGTGCCCAAGGCGTTGACGCAGCCGTGACCCACACCCTCCTGCTGCCCAAGCCCTCCGCCCCCATGGACACCTGTTCCCTGGGAGCCTCTCCCCCGCCGGCAGCTCTCCTGAGCTGTGTGGCCCAGGGCCCTTGAGTGGACGCTCAGCACAGCGGTGGAGCCTGTCCCCGCGTCTGCTCCCATCCCTGGGGGGTGGAGAGGGAAGGCAGCTGTGGCCTCAGGTCCCCGCGGTGGCTGCGCTAAGAAGGAGCACCCGGAGCTGCTCAGAGGCCCGGGCAGCAGGAAGGCACGGTCCAGGCCAGGCTCCAAGGAAGGCTGAGCCAGATCCGGGAGCCCTGTGTCTGGGCTCCCTGGACCCTGCGGCTGGACTTGCGCCTGATGCCCCGGAGCCCGGCCCGTGCTGAGGTGGCCTCCGTCTCCTAGGGTGACTCTGGAGGGCCCCTGGTCTGCGAGGAGCCCTCCGGCAGGTTCTTCCTGGCCGGCATCGTGAGCTGGGGCATCGGCTGTGCAGAAGCAGGGCGTCCCGGGGTCTACGCCCGGGTCACACGGCTGCGGGACTGGATCCTGCAGGCGACCTCCCCTGCCAGCCAGCCACCAGCCCCGGTCGTGGCTTCTGTCCCCACCGCCCCCAGCACCGCCTGGCTGACCAGCCCCGAGAGCCCCCCGGTTGACACTCCCGCCAAGCCCACGCAGGCCGCCAGCCCTGCACCCCTGGACTCTCTCCTGGCTCCTAAGCCACAAGGTAACTCCCAGGCAGAGCCGCAGGCCAGTGGGCTGCTGTGCCGGGCTGGGCTGGCTGGGCCGGCTTTCGGAAGCCCAGTGGGAAGGAGACGGGGCTGATCCCGTAGGAGACACGGCAGGTTGGTCATCCTCCAAGTCTACATTTAAACTTTTTCTTTCTTTATTGTTTTTGGTACCAGGGATTGAACTCGGGGCGCGTGGTCACTGAGTCACATCCCCAGCCCTATTCTGTATTCTATTTAGGGTCCCACTGAGTTGCTCAGGACCTTGCTGTTGCTGAGGCTCTGAACTTCTGTCTCAGCCTCCTGAGCTGCTGGGATGAGGGGCAGTGCACCCGGCTCCTGTTGGCTTTGTCACCAGTTTTCTGATGTGAACTATGCAGTTCACTCTTTCAAAGTGTGTAGTTCAGTGGCTATTGGTAGATTCACAGAGTTGTGCAGCCATAACCACTAGTTCCAGAATATTCCAACAACTCAAAAGGAAGCCCACCCCATGAGCAGGCCCCCACCCCCCCAGCTCTGCACCCACAGTTCCACATCCTGTCTGGACTCTCCTGTCACTGTCACACGCTGTGGCCTTGTGTACCTGACTCTCACCAAGCACAAGGTCCTCAGGTCCCTCCACACGGCAGCCGTGTCACCTTGCTCCAGACGTGCGTTCCTGTATCAGAGACACCTGGACTGTGATGGGGGGCGTGCCTTGGCTCCTGGGGGTGTATGTGCAGGAGTGGGATTGCTCTGTTGCGTGGTGACTCCTGTGTAGGACATGAGGACCCCTCAGTGAGGCTTCTCCTCACTGAGACCTCGTTCTTTGCTGGCCACCATGTTGGGCCCCTGGGAGGACACATCGTGCCTGGAGGGCCAGAAGCCTGGGTGCAGAGGCCCACAGAGGCCCCCTGACCGACACTGCCCAGGACTGGGTCCAGCCTTAGCTGACCATGTGCTCACCTGCTAGGCCTCTGAGCCCATGACACCCATGCTGCACCTCACTGTCACCTGCACCTTGTCCCCAGATCCCAGAGAACCATGTCCACTATCTCTGAGTGCCCTGGGCCCTCAATGTGGAGCCTGCTCTGTGGCCATGCGCCTGGTGCCAGGGAAGCCCACAGAGCCGTCACCACCTGCTGCCCAACCTCAGGCCGGACACCTGGGGCCCCACAGCTTACTCTGCAGAAGAGGGCGACTCGGCAAGACGGCTGCACTCAGGCATCCCCGGGCCCTCAGGCCTAGGATGCTGTGTCCGCAGTGGACAAGGGCACTCGGACCCCTCTCTCTTGTCTCCTGGCAGAGTGCGGGGCCCGGCCTGCGATGGAGAAGCCCACCCGAATTGTGGGTGGGCTTGGGGCTGCGTCTGGGGAGGTGCCCTGGCAGGTCAGCCTCAAGGAAGGTCCAAGGCACTTCTGCGGAGCCACCGTGGTGGGTGACCGCTGGCTGCTGTCAGCTGCCCACTGCTTCAACCAGTAAGGCCCCGGGATCACCCATCCACCGATCTGACCCTCAGCATTCAGTGCCTCCCACCGAGTGCGCACCACGCAAACCGCGTCTGAAGGCTCGGGGGCACCTGGGCCGGAGGACTCGGGGCCTGTGGGGACGGGAGGAGGGCGCCTTCCCCACTTGGCGGTCAGCCAGCAGCCGTCCATCTGTGACCCTCATAAAGCCACAGGGCTCTTGGTGATGTAGAGAGCTAAGCCCCAGCGCCTCACTCCTGGCCCAAGCTCCCTGGTGGGGGGCTGTTTGTCCAGCAGCCCTGAAGGCCCAGCATCCTCGTAGCCCGGCCGCTGCACGAGCCCATCCTTAGCCCCACCCCTCCGCCCTGCCCTCCCTATCCACAGCCCTCCCCCACCTCCCCTGTCCTCCCTCCCCTCTACCCATGGCTCCTCCCCTCCATTCTCCCTACCCGTAGCCCCACTCCCTCACCTACCCCTCCTCCTGCACTGCTCTTACCCATAGATCCCTTCCACCTGCCCTCCCTACCCATAGCCCCGCCCCTACCCTGCCCCCCAACTGTTCCTACCCAGTTCCTCCCTCCACCTCAACCCCGCCCCTCCCCACCCATAGCTCCTCCCCCGCCCACTCTACCCACA